TGGAATCTGTTTCGGCAGATGATCCAAACTTGTCCGGCGTATTTTGCATTTACAAAGAAAGTGTATGTGGTGGTTTGATGGGGTGTGTACGGCTTACTAAAGCGTCCGCCATGTACTGACTGTTCAGAGTGAGTGAGTGAGTGAGTTGGTTTAACGCCGCTTTTAACATTATTTCAGTTATATCGCGGCGTGTCAGCTTAATGTGGGAGGAAAGCCCGAAGTGATGCAGGTCTCAGACGTTTACCACTTCGGTGAAACCCAGGAGCACGGGTGCTGACAAACCTAGAAACATTATCGGGGCGAACCGGGATTCGAACCCACAATCATAGGTTTCCAGCCAGCCCAAGGGACGCAACTCTGCACGGCGAATCGCGGCGCCTCAGACAACCGTGCCCCCCGACTGTTCAGAGCTGCATCAAGATGCCTCGATTCCAATATTCACCTGATTATGTTTGTCAGCACAATACGAGTGAAGGTGGGTTTTCAGTGGTAAGTGTGTATGTCTGTGACCGGGCAAAAGAAAGGATACACTTGAAAATTGGAGATGACAAAAAATGCCAAACGTTATCAAAACGTTACAAGGCGGAAAACAGTCGCTGCAACACTGCAAACGTAAGGTCTAAAACACAACAGTTTACTGTGATACCTGTATCAAATACATCACCATAGAATGACCATATCTTGTTTGTTTTATTCATCATCAGCCTCGGATGAATACTCTCTTTTGTCCGACAGAGTACATCAGTTTGGGCTGCTGCCGCGCATCAACTGAACTCATGTTTAAAGCAGTGTATAAGCTCAGTGTTGTTTGAGCGTTTGCAACCCTACTGACCATCGTTTGGAGTTACAAATGGGTTCATCATATTCAAAACTTTCGAGCCAAAGGTCTTGAGCACTGAGAATACCCCAACACCTTGCGTTGAATCTGTGCCTTTCTTAAGCAATTGTCGTGCCCTGATTTTACGTGTTTCTCCGGATGTTTTGTTTCTAACTTTTGTCTGAGAGTGTTGGATTGAAGAATATGTTTGCGTACTGGAGACAATGGACTCACAAACCAAAGTCTTTCCAGTATGGGAGCCTCGGCCTTTGTACTGTGGATTCTTGGTTTTACAGCTTCTACCTTCACCAGGCGTTTTTGTCTGACCAAGAAAGTTTGGTGGGTTCTGTTGGGTTGGTGCAGCCTTTAACATTCTCTCCAACAGTTTGGACACATTTAGTTCTGGTTTCTGGTTTACAGCATTAGGCGTGATCACAGACGGTTTGTTTGCAAAACTGTTATCGGAAATTGATTCGGAAGACACTGGAGTCATTTTCTTGTTCTTAGTAGGGTCATTTCCACTTGTTGTTGATACTTTCTGTTCTTGATCTGAATAGACATTGCCCCTCGTTCTCTTCTCAGGCTGCATAAGCTCATATCGAGGTGTTATTTTTGTGTGTTGAGAATGTGCAGAACCGACAGTGTGTTTCTGGCCCTTCTCTGCAGAGGATGGTTCGAAACAAGGGGATCCTGTCTGTGAATGTTTCCCTAGAACCGTTGAGTGATCTCTTAATGTCTCTTTACTGGGAGATTTACATTTTCTTCTGATGCTCTGTCGTTGTAGCTTCTTTGGGGAATATTTATTTACCTGTATTGTGGTAGGACAGGCAGGTTGGTACTCTTTAGTGACAGTTGAAAGTGTCGCATCTACTCTTTTATCTTTTCTAATGATGTTCGTTGGTACAGCATGTCCAGTCACTTTCCCAATATTATCATTTTCGGTCCTGGCTTCAAATTCTGGTGACCGGGGAGAAATACCTAACTGCTGAAGAACATCATGGGTTGTCTGATTTTCATGAAAGTTTTGAAGGTTCATTGACTTATCTTCAGAAGGTCGTATTGGTTGAGATCTTCGTCCGGATGAGACGGCCAAGGCTGGTATTGTAGAAACATTGCTCAGTGACATCTCAGTTATTTTCATATTCAAGTTCATTACTGTACTCGGCACTGTGTCCTTGGGACTCTTTGTCGGAAGATGCCTTGACAGTTGTCCATGTTGATCATACTTTATTTTCTTTGCATCGGTATGAAACTGTGATTTCTCTCCATCATCACACGCAGGTCTCTTTCTCGGCATCAAGCGGAATGTAGGTGCACTATGATCATCTAAAGGGCTATATCTGTCTGGATCTTCTGTCACACTGGCATTTGTCATCGAGCAGAGAATCAGTTGTATGTCGTTAAGCATTGGTTTCTTTCCCTGCAGGTCTCTAATACATTCCAGGTAGGACCTTCCACAGTGTTGGACGTGTATGCTCTCATTAAGCCAAAACACTGACACCAGCTCAAGTTCCTCCTTGGGAAGATTCAGCAAGAACTTTACTATCTCCTACTTGCCATCACCACTGAACTGTTTCCGAAGCTCCTTGATGATATTGCTTGTTGGCGAACTGACATAGATAGTTTCCCACTTGTAGGCTATCTTGTACACACCACTTGGCCTGCGCTTCGTCCGCACGATGACTGAATATGGTACATGACCTCTGTGCAACAGCTTGCATGGTTTCATCTGGAATAAAAAGCAGTATTTTGGTAACACCTCAATACAAGTCAGTAAGCCAGCCAGTAAAACATTATGAGTGAGTGGGTGAGTTTGGTTCCACACCGATTTGAACAGTATTCCTGTCTTATCACGGCGTGTCAGTTTGACATGGGAGGAAAGCCCGAAGTGATGCAGGTCTTGGATGTTTACGAATTTGACAATCCTAGAAACATAATCAGGAGAATCTAGATTCAAACCCACGATCATAGTTTTCTGGCACGCTTAAGGAATTTCAGCGCCTTAGGCGACTATGACATAGACAAGAGGCACATTGTTGGTGTTCATGACGAGTTGATTACGAAATGAAATCAATGGGAAATTAACTAATATTGTTCATGAAACATTCCTATTACTTCTTGGGGCACGGGTGGCCCAGTCGTCTAAGGCGCCACGATTCACTGTGCAGCAGAGTTGCGTCCCTTGGGCACGCCAGAAACCTATGATTGTGGGTTCGAATCCCGGTTCGCCCCGATTATGTTTCTAGGTTTGTCATCACCATTCCCGAGCTTGTGGGTTTCACCAAAGTGATAAACGTCTGAGTCCTGCATCACTTCGGGCTTTCCTCTCACATTAAGCCGAGACGCCGCGATATAACTGTCGGCGTTAAACCCAACTCACTCACTCAGTCACTCCTATTACTTCGTTACGCCGAAGGCCCGGTTCGATTCCCCATATGGGTCCAATGTGTGAATCCCATTTCCGTTGTTCCCCGTCGTGATATATTGCTGGAATATTGCTAAAAGTGGCGTAAAGCCATACCACTTCATTCATTAAAACTACTTACGGCAATCAAGGGTATCGACATGCGGCCTGTTTTTGGCACCATAGCCTGTTTGTCTTTTTTTCTATTCAATGGCCGCTCTGTCTTCGAAGATCTCTCTGTGTCCATATCTTGTCCTTTATTAATGCACGGTGTCTGGAAGTCCTTTAAACGTTCACACTCTTGTTTGGTATTTGTTTCAGGTTGCGACGTAACGTCATCAGAAGCACTAGCTATCAGCCCCAGTGCTGTCTCAGCAGTTCCCTGTTCGTCCTGGCAATGCAATACCCCATGTGCTGCAGGAGGCGGACAGTCATTCCTCTGTGTGTGATCTCTTGGTTTTTCTCGAGGAACAGAGCTGTTTCGAACATGTGCAACAACCTTTGTCTGTTGGATTGAACCGTGCAAACTCGTACGAGATGTCGAGACCTGGCTCGGTTCCGGTTCAAACAGCTCCAGATTAGTCGGCCATGGGTGCTGGACATATACTGGTATGAAGTGTGAGTACAGCTTTATGTTGTGTGAGCTGTAGAGAGGATGCACCTGTGGCTTTCCAGAGTCATTCGGCTCAGGCAACACGCCCCGGTTATTCATGACTGTGCTGAAATGGAAAGTGTACATAAATGTATTGAGCGAGTGGGTGAGTGAGTCTGCTTTAACGCCGCTTTGAACAATATTTCAGTTATTTCATGGCGTTCCAACGAGTGGGAGTAAAGCCCGAAGTTATGCAGGTCTTAAACGTTTAGTGCAGTCCACGACCACGGGATTCGAACAACTGATCATGAGCGATACGCTTAAAAAGACCCACTACTCTGCACAGCGCATTGCAGCGCGTTGGAAGACTGGGCCGCCAATACAATTGATACCCCATTACTTCATAACTGTAATAAAGTCACAACCTTGACTTCTATTGCTGAAAACAAGACTTGATATACATTACATATTAACACATAATAAACATTAATAATAATGGGGGCACGGGTGACCCAGTCGTTTTAGTCGCCACAATTCGCTGTGTAGAGTTGCGTCCCTTGGGTATGCCAGAAACCTATGATTGTGGGTTCGAATACCGGTGTGTTCAATTATGTTTCTAGTTTATCTAGCACCAAACCCATTACCGTTTGACAAAAGTGGTAAACGTCTGTGACCTGCATCACTTCAGCCTTTCCTCCAACATTAAGCTGGCACGCCCTCATATGACTGGAATATTGTTCAAAGCGGCGTTAAACCCAACTCACTGTCTCACTTAATAACAATGCTGATCGGAAATGTAATGTTTACTCCAATTATTAAAGTTTCAAAATTTCAAAAGTAAAAAAAATCTCTCTAGAATAAAGTGTGCGTGTGAAATAACGTTCAATAACAGTTGACCCACAAAAGTGTGGGTTTCAGCTGCATGCTAAGAATGCTGGCAGGGGCCGACTGTGTGTTATCAGGGTCACGGTGACATTATACAGCTTGTTTCATAACACTGAATCGCTCAGATGAATCATTCTATGATTACTCCTCCTTACATTATATATCATCCGTTCTAAACCCCTTATTCATAATTGCTGACATTTGCTATATTCTAATTTACGACAGAATGGGGTATTATATGTTATAAGTTATATATTGTTACATTATATATTAATTGGCAAAAAGGATACATAATTACCCACCTTTAGATGTAGTGTAGTTATCAACGAAAGGACATTTAGTCAGAGTGACACTACAAGTACGCATATCCATGTACGCTACTTCTCGCTAAGCTGTTGTCAACTAACGCTGTTGAAAACAGTTCTTAAAATGAACTAGATCGGGATTTACTCACCGCTGTTGGCTTTATCAGTGTTTTCAGCCTTCCTTACGAACAGCAATGTCAAGGACTTTCCGATTGACGATTTGTTTGTCGGCGAAGAGTCATATCGCTCCTTGTAAAATTTAGTCACTCCACATGAATGAACTGAATGATCTTGTTTATTTGTTTGTTTGTTTGTTGTTTCATGTCGCATTGAGTGATATTTCAGCTATATGACGGCGGTCTGTAAATAATCGAATCTGGACCAGACAACCCTGTGATTGACATCAAAAGCATCATTCTTCGCAACTGAGATAAGATGACATGCATCTGAAAGGTCGGCGAGCTTGACCACACACTGATAGATGTCAATGAAAAAGCACATACTGCCTAGTCAATGTACATGCTGTTTTTTTTAATAGTCGCTGATTGGTGATTAAAGAAATAGCGCCTTACTTACAGTGTGCTAGGTTTTGCAAACGGCTTCCGGCAGAGGGAGCCGCAAGCAGACGCAGACAGGTATACTACTATTCACATAGTTAAATAACGTACAGGGTTTATTAAGAAACAGGTTTTCAAGTTAAAATGCTCAGATGTCAAGAAATAGGTGGGTTAAGAAAAATTCAAAACCCTCTAAAATTTGTTGATACCCAATCAAAATCAAACCCCTGGGTAAAATACCCAAAAAACCAAAAGCCTATTTATAGCTCTGCAATTGGGATATATCAACATGTGGGACATATGTGTATCTCTCACAAACCCCTGATTGTCGTTATGCAGGGCTGTTCTCGTCAGGATATGGCTGAAATACTGCCGATGTGACGTAAACTTTTAACTCACTCACTCTTCGACCCTTATATCACAGTGTGGCTGTTGTTGACGGCATACCTCTGAGGACTGATTTAATTGTCGTTATGCAGGGCTGCACTACTAAGAATTTATCACAATGGAAGAGAAAGTAGATTTCCCAGAACACTGACGCCTATATGTAGGTCAGGTGCACAGTCTTACAACCTGGTGCAGGAGACGCAGTGTGCAGACATCCTAGATTCCTATTTCAGAACCCAAATACACACCTCACGTTCCACACAGGTAAGACATGTTTATTCAGTGTTTATGTATAATTGCTCTTATCGTTAAAAGATGGAACTTGTTGTTACCCTGTCTGGCGCTCGGCATTAAGGGGCTAAAACAAGGACTGGTCGGCTCGGAGTAAGTATGCTGTGTCTGAGTGGGGTATTCATGTTAAACTGCGGCATGGTATCTCGGTGAGCTTGCACTATAAATCGGCATCAGTCCGGACCAGTACAACCAGCCACACACACACACACACGCGCGCGCGCGTGCATGCACGTCGCTATATAAGTGCAATAATCTTGGACGCGACGTTAAACCCACCTCACGTCACTTGTTGGTATCGGCGACAGTGTGAGTGACAGGGGTGGGAGAACGTAGATAGGCACTAAATGGCTCATACAAAATTGCTGAGAATGGTCGGACAATCTATGTGGGCAATGCCGAAAGTGCATCAATCAGAAGAGCACTGAGGAGACATTTCAAAGGAATGGACAAACAACACATTGGAGCATATCTAAGCACCCTACACGAAGAATACAAAGAGGAATTTATAACAGTGTTTTGGCTTGATATTACCATCAAACATGCCTGTAATTGTAGCTACCTTAAGTGTTTTGAAAGAATGGAAGGAAGAAAGCCACTGTACAACATGCAGGGCCATGCCTTCATCGCGCGACCAAAGCGAGTCGGTTCTTGTTCTGAATCTGGCCCAGATGATCACAAAATGGATACTCATGAAATCGAAAAATCGGAGTAAAGGATACTTTGCGAACATTTTGAATTTGAATAGGGCAAATGTATTCTCATTTGCATAAGTTGTGGTTAATTACTGTTTCTTTGTCTGACCAATTTCTTTTTATATTACTTGGTCGAGCTGAATAAAGATTTCGTCAAAAGCAAGATTAACTTCGTTATTATTGAGGTCATTATTTGATATGGCATCACCTTTACTGACATGTTTGGTTATTAATATAGCCAGTCAGCTTATCAGAGTGAGTGAGTGAACTGAGTTTAACGTCGCTTTTAGCAATATCACGGCGATAGACACCAGAAATAGGCTCCACACATAGTACCTATGTGGGGAATCGAACAAAGAGCTTCAACGTGACGAGTGAACGACGGACCATTTGCAGAGATTTAAAAGATATCAATTCACAGAATAAGTGCATGTTGTTGTTTTTAATGATAAGAAGTGACCAAAAAATATTACGAAAGGTAAGGGTTAAGGGTGTTGTTATTTTGTGCGGCATTGGTGATTTCGTCATGGCATTTGGATAGTAGGGTTCATTATGCATGCTGTCATCCAATAGTTTGTCTTGACCTGGCATGATTTGGAACAGGCCTCAGGCCGTTATCGTCATAACATTGCTGACTGCGGTTGAAAAAGCGTTATACTCGGTTACATTTCTTAATGACAATATTGTTTGTGGTAGATTTAAGTATTAATGTTACTTATTGTTTGTTGTTTAACTCTGCATTCAGCTCAGGAATAGTCCAGCTGCATGATGGCGGCTTCTTTTTAACCTTTTTTCTGTACGATCCCGAGTCGTGCTGTCCAACAAATAGCCAAACCTATTGTATTTGTTCTCGTTTCAGACATGGCAATGTTCACGGACTTCAACCGAGACAAGTACGGAGTTGTTCGGGGTAGGTGTCGAGACTGCCCCGAGGACTGTCCTCAGTATTCCCTACCTGTCCTCAGACACAACTGTACATATTGCGGGTGTCCGGCGGGTCAGCATGAGAGGGTGGAACCTCGACCTGAACTCATCATCAAGATAGAACCAGGGAAGGAGGGGGCAGGATCTTCGGGGCGGCCTGTTGGAAGATCACAACCTGGTCTGTCGAGAAAACAGGACGGGCTGCCTACAGCTCAAGCCCAACCTCGTTCCTCCAGGCGAAATAAGTCGCCAATTGTTTCACGAAAACATCCGGATACATCGGGAGCAGTAACCCAGGTATAATTTCAGTTTAATTAGTTCTTGAGCTTTTGAATGTTTTTAGAAGTTCTTTGTTATTCTTGATTATCTTCGTTTTATATAACCTTATGGCTACTATTGTGTGACCACAAGTGATCGAGGGCAAACGTTATTAATTTATGTTTAATCTCAGCTGCAAACGAGGCTTTGAACATAGCACATATTTACGTCGGTTATTTGTTGTCATACTAAATGGTGTTTTCCCCAAACCCCTCCACCACAAGATATTTAGTAGTTGGTCTCTTAGACATTAGATGCTGAGTTTTTATACTTAGGTTTTTGCAATTAAATATTGAGTTTGGTTGATTAAACGAATTTTCATAACTAACCTTTTTAAATTTTACTTGTATATTTCAGAAACGTTGTGAGACGTTATTTGAGGATACTGGCGTCAATGTTTCTCTTCTTAAAAGAAACCTTAAAAGAAGAACACAACGTGGCGTGTTCACAATCCTATGGAAGGGATATATAATTTATGTTGGTGAGCCAAAGAAAACGCCCATATTATCAAGCCTCCGTAGTATCTTTGCTGGTAGAAGCAACCAAGACATCAGCACATTTTTGAAAAGTCTACCCAAAGATTTGAAAAAGAAGCACATCAGAATCGCCTGGCTGAAACGCATGGATGACGACCCACATCGCCAAACTTGTGGCAAAGGCAAGAAAAAGGTGGTCTCGTACCGACAGTGTATTTCAAAACTGCAAGGGAAGACTCCAAAGGATATCCTCAGGTATTACATGAGTGGACAAAACATCAGGCGATAGAATCAAAATGGTTGTCGTGTTTTAACATTCATCACCACATGTGTCCGTGATCTACAACAAGGCTCGTCCACCTCAAGGGCCGCCATGCGTCTCAACGGCGCAAGCCAATCAGAAGGCGCGTCAGGATATGGGTACTACATTCAGTGTAATATCGTTTTTGTTGGTATACCAAGAGATTGACAATGTATCAAAGAAATTCAGTAATCACCTATCTCAAAACAAATTATCTAATCACAGACACACACACAATGCTTTGACAATGATGTTTAGAGCGGCGTTAAACCAAACTCACTCACTCACTCTAACGTAACTATCATGGACTATCCCTTGTCGCCTTCAAGTGTACCAGCAACATATGCTTGTGGTAAGAGGCGACTTCGTAGATTGGTGGCATCATATGCCGAATGCGTGGCTGGGGCGTTGCTTATAATATATATCACTGGTTTGTCTGGTCCAGATTCTATTATCTATATGGTTGGGGCTAGGAATTCTCATCGTAGCTGTTAAAACGTGTTTATACTAAAAATACCAATCACTGGTTTATCTAGTTCAGATTAGTATTCACCGCCTTTCTGTACACAGTATGCAGTGTTTAATATGTTTTGTACTTTAGACTAGTATATGTCTGACATTTGATTTTGCACTTTGACCATGCCTTTATGTTTATACTTTAGGCGAGTATATGTTTTTTTGTTATGATAAATAACAAATTTTACCAATATGTCGACAGAAAACCAAACGTCTCAGCATAACTTGTTTTTAAAAAAAATATTTCTGTTAACCTTATATTCCAATAAAATTTGCTTATGGAGAATGCCATCTTTCACTGGACAAAATATCATCCATTCCAAAAAATCCAAAACTTGGAAATACCACCATTCCAATTGGAAATATGACCATTCCAATATTTGGAAAGGTCATATTTCCAAGCTTGGATTTGTTTGGATTTGTTTGGATTTGTTTGGAAATGTTTGGAAATATTTGGATACAACATGTCATAATCATATCTGTTAAACGTTGTACAACTTTTGACCTTATGTGAGATTAGTAATGACATGAAAGTAAATAATTAAGAGTATTTTGGCACTATGTTCCACGAAAAAGACCAAATCATGAGCAAATTTAACTAAAAGAAATTCTGTCATTTAAAGTGGCTACTCTTTATATCTAATTTCTTATCTTCCTTGCCTATAATCA